TGAGGCCCCGACCCTGCAAAATGAGCCTACATTTTGCAGGGTCGGGGCCTCAGTTGATGGTATGTTAACAACTTTAGACCAAAAACAAAACAAAAAAAGACAATCATGGAAATACCAGAAGTAATGTCATTCCACAAGGTTTTCTTTGTAGGATCCAGATCTAAGTTGACATTTAATCTTCATTAAACATGCAGCCTCCTAGATTCTGTTTGGGTTGATTTGTTCCTTGACGTTTGAGGAGTACCATATTTTAATATTATCTGAATAACAAGAAACGCTTGATTCAGTCTATTTTCCATTTGTTTATGCTTCCAGTTGTCTGGCATTACTTCAGCACTAATTTTTGTGTTGTTGACAGGGCTGACGAGAAAGGGGGGAAGCTGGTACAAATTACCAGGGCCTGGCAGCCCAGAAGGGGGCCTGGCTTCCCCTCCCCCCCCCCCTTGTCGGCCCTGTTTAGCTGGTCTGGCCATGCTGGGGGGCCCGAAATTTTTTTTTCACCAGGGCCCTGATTGTTGATATTTTGTTGCAGCTTTCCCACAAGAGTAAGTAATTTTAAATAATTTCCTGCTAATTAAAAGCATTAGCAAGTTTGATTGACTCCTCTGACTTCAATAGTATGGATTCTACTTGCAGCATAGATATTGATGTTACAAATATTGCTTGTGAATTCTTGCTTTTAAACTCAGTGACTTATTTCCATATAAGCAGATGAAAACATCTGTTGACTACAATGTATACACAGTGTCCTTTTTTGTTGCAGAAAATTTTTCTTCTATAACTAAAATTCTGTTGACTTTGTATTCATTTGGGAGATAAAACTTAGTCCTATTTTTCCTTTCCAAAATGTTCTTCTTTATTGCTTTTATATGTTGATATCTGTGTTTCAGCATTGTTCTTCTGGTGTAAAGCATTTGGAGTACTCACCAGAAATCTAATCCTTTAAGGAACTGGTTATACCATGTTTATGAGCAAAACTAAGATGGCACATGTAAGACAGAAGTAAATTCCAATATGAACATTGTCATATTAGCAACTTGAAAATGCAGTGGAATTCTGTGTAGTAAAATCAATTGTTTTTCCACAGAACAGCTTTGCTCTGACTGGAGATTCACTCCATAATATAGGAACAGAAGTTTCCATATTATAATGTGTCAAAATCTGAGACTTTGCTTTGCTATGAATGGAGTTTCATTAAAAGTAGGCTTCAGTATATAACATATCTTGGGGGTTTGGTGGAAAAAACTACTAGTGTTTAAATCCCAATAGTCATTGACTCAGTTGGAGTCATGAGTTCTTGACATTTCTGAAAATCAGGCCCTTGCAGCTGTAATAATTTTCATTCTGTCCTCTGCTTTGTTGAGACTATTGGTTTCAACTGGATATGGTATCCTGTTCCTATCCTAAACTGTTGTTTAGTGTTACCATGCACTGTTAAACAGCTGTCATATTTTACCCCAGAAGTGGCTGTATTCAAATCATGAATGAAATGACGTCTGTCTGTCTGTCTGTCTATGAAGAGCATTTGGATAATATGCACTATATAAACTTTACTACATCCCAGATTATGAAACTATTAATAATAATTTAAAGAGCTATGTTGCATGGATATTCTTTTAGGAGACACTACCAAAATAACATTAATTGTGGTATTCTTGTATAACTTACTATACCTTTGTGATTCCTCCAGGTCTCCCCTCCTCCCCCTTTTCTTTTGCCTAATTCATAAATGCTTATTTAGTTAAGCCCTGGAAGGGGATGTGGAGTCATCTGGAAAAGGAATGGCCTAGCCTGGGTGTGTGAAATGCATGCATTCATGACAATTTGAAAAATGCAGGGGAGGAGGAGAGTAAAAGTTGCAGCCTCCTGTGGAGCAGACAGCTGACAATTCATGTATCTCATACTTTTATTTACTTTTCTACACAAGAAGAAAAATGTCCACCCACAGCAACTGCAACATCCCATGGTACCCAAGCTGTTGCTGAGATACAAAGCACCTTTATAAATATTCAGACCGTAGAGCTCGTCAATAAAACACCTCTCATTTGACTCCATGAATTTAATGAGGAAGGCTGGACTGTGGTTCGTGTTTTAGTCACTTTCACAGCTGGGTTTGTGTTGCATCTTATTCTGGTTTCCTGTATTCTTGATATACACCAGTATAATTCCGTCAGTTGCAATGGGGTAATTCCTGATTTGCCCAAGTGAAATCAGAACTGGGCAAACATCTTGGTGAAAGAGGCAATTGCCAGTAAATACGACATTGCTGAGTGTATATTAGGATTATTTGCTACCATTTTGCTAGTGCTCTGTGCGCACGTGTGTGGAAGTTAAGGAGCAGAGGAGCAGCAAACCAGGGACTAGTTATTTATCCATTGGATGAGCAAAGAAAGCCTGATCTAAATTCCATCAAGTGCCAACTTGGTCTCTTTGTGGCAAAAAATAGGATAGTTTTTCAATAACCAATGTGTGATTTCAGCAGGCCTATTGGCCTTGTAACGTACTTGGATGTTGGTATAAATAGAGCTACTTTTTTCTTTATGACCTATGACTAGATGTTGTGTAAGCACTTTTTTCTTTATGAACTATGACGGACAGTTGCAGGAATAACATGGACATTACTTGTAGTGTTTTCAGGAAAAAAGCTACTTGGTATATTGAGGGTATATTTTAATGTACATTATATGGAAGCTGACAAGTTTTCAGCTCCTATTCTGGCACAAGGCAGGGCACAAGCATCTTGGAGATTTATTCCCTCAGGAAATGACCTTTGTGACTGTCAGCCCTCAGAGGCTCTGGAGTCTTCCTTTGCTCCTTAGGAGCCTGCACCTCTTAGAGTTAGTGCCAAGTCTCCTATTGAGGAAAAACAGTGAAAGATTTGGCCATGGAAACTGCTTTTGATTCTTCAGCAGAATACTTTTCTTTTGCTGCCATGAAATGGCTGATAAGGGATTTGTGCCACACCCTTCTCTAGGGTGGTATCTGAGTGAACTCAGCTCAGTTGTTTTATTTCCAGAAGTAGTGACTCTGCTTTTCAGGTGGAGAGTTTCAAAAGTAATGATGGTGCAGGCTATAAACACATGCTTGTAGAATTCCACAACTGGTCATGGCCTGTAGTTTTTGCTCCCCTGGCTGATGAGCCCTTTAGCTTCTGGCTTTGTCAGTGTTTCTGGTTTTATTCCATCATAGGATTCTGCAGCAGAACAAATGCTCATCTGGACAGGCTGGACTTTTATGGAGCTAGGATCTCAAACTAAACAGGTCTAGCATGGATATAGAAGATCGTGGCTATTTTTTTTTTTCTGACTATAGCCCTTTGGTACCAAACATTAGCACCAAACAAATACCATTCCCAATGGTTGAAATAATAGACTTATCCTCTGGTCTTGTTTTAATTGCAAACAGGGTGTATGGAATGACAAGAAAAAATAAATGACATCCATGTGTTTATCGGCTAAAGGAGAGATGTGCTTGTGTGTGTATTGCTGGTATGAGAGGCACCTCTGTCTGTACTCAGATGCAGGAACATCTGGTGGTTCTAGGCCAACCGTCTTCCACACATTTTCTGGAAATAAGAAGGTGTGTAACTTATGTTGTTTAGGTGATAGGTGTTGCTGTGCATTCCATAAGGAATGAAAGTTTTCTCAAGCTTGATGCCAGAGTGAGGCTTTGCTCTGATTTGGAAGACCGATGAGGTAAGGGAGATTGGAAGAACTTTGCAGCCGTGGTATTAAGTCTTTTTTAAACTATTTTTTTTAAATTGAAGGGCAGCAAAAGCAGAAAGTAAAAAATAAAAAGGTTAAATAATAAAAATTAAATTTGGCACCTGTTAGTTTAAACTAATACTTGTCAAATCAAATTCTTGATTCTGGCCCTGTTCTCTCGCTTTTACTTAGGTTGAGTAGTACTTTCCTTCATGAGTAGTCCCACTGATTTCATGATAGGTATGCAACTAATTTATTTATTTATTTATTCTATTCACTCCACTACTCATGGAGCAAAGTGCTACTCAACGTGAGTCAAAGGTGGTGGAGTTTAGTTTGCCACTTACTGCCAATATAAAAACAAGAAAAGAATTGGTCTGCATACCTATCATGTAAGCACTTGCTGCTTGCATGCATGTACTCATGGGCTAAAAATGAATTATACTTAAAACTATTACCTCGAGGACTTTTATAGGTTTTGCAGAAAGTATGACTGCGGTAGAGCTGGGGCATGTTCCTACTATTCTTGTCAGCGGCTCCAAAAGCCACACTTGCCTGAAGGTCTTTATTTTATCAAGTCTCAGTGTGTGTATTTATTTATTTAAAAAAAAAACAGACATTACGGTATGAATATTTGAACAGTGGGTGGTCACATTTTTTACAGGCGGTGGTTTCAGAGCAGTTTTAGTTACATCAAGACTCTGTGTGTGTGTGTGTGTGTGTGTGTGTGTAAGGAGTCAGAAAAATCAGGACTGGAGAAAATAAGTTTCTAATAGGCTTCCCCCTCCTCTCTTTTGTAACTTCAAGATATTTTTTCCCCTTCTGGTTGTCAGAAGAAAGCCTTTGGTATCAATCTTTCATGATGCTCTGTATTTTTAGATCACCACATTGTGAAAGTTTAGCCTGCAAACTCCTAGAGATACCACAACATTACACTGCAAAAAGCTTTTTCTATTATCCCAGCAGCTGATCAATTTAAATTTACTTCATGTTCTAAATTGGTTCCAATTGCTTATCATTTGACCCATTTGTGTTTTCTTCTTTCCCAGGGATATCAGTATGAACAACATCACAAAGCTACCAGAGGATGCTTTTAAGAACTTTCCTTATCTTGAAGAGCTGTAAGTATTTCGCATGTGAAGTCAGGGCTGTTTTTACAGTACTGTGGGATGGTTGTGCTGTTCACCTGAAAATAGGTGGAAAAGCAAATTGTGTTATTAGGATGAGCTGTGAAACAGAGAGAACAATTATACCTTTAAAAAAAGACCTATATATGTTTGGAAGCCAGAGTGGTTAATGCTACTTATGAGTGACCTTTTAGGGTAATTATTTTAATCATGACTACAGTGGTGATACATACTAATTATAGTGTTATTCTAAGATAACACAGGAACAGTGTAATTACCATTGTTTCCAGTGGAGTTACAATATAGTTATTGCACAGCTTCCATAAATACATTGTTTCAGTTAATGTGCAGTTAACTCCCATCACTCCTATAGGTGGCAGAGGCAGCATGGTGTAGGTCAGGATGTATTTGAAAAGAAATAGAGGCCTTGTGTTTACAGCTTCTTTTCTATAATTTGTTCTGAGTTTTAGCAGTGCATCTTCCCTTGTCCTGTCTCTCCCTCCCCTCCCTCATCGCTTAGCTACCTCACATCCAGCCTCGTCATTAGGCCCCAGTTCAATAAGGCTCTTAAGGATGATCCTAACTTTATGCACATCAGTATTCCTGTTGACTTGAATGGAACTATTCACTTGCGGAAGTACTCTGCTGAACTGGGGCCTTAATTCAGAAGTCTGAGCAGCAGCTGAAGCACCCTGTAAAAAATGAAGCAAAAAAGTAATGATGTAGATTCTATTTTAAAGGTCTGAATATTTCCAATTTTTTTGTGTTTCAACAGGAAGAGGGACAAGTCTTTATCTTAGTCAGAATTACCACTTCAATAACAGTAATAAATTGCATATAGCCAGTCTGTCTTGGTTTCCCCATCTGTGAAAGGGGGATTATGCTACCGACCTTTTGCAAAGAGCTTTGAGGTGTTCTAATAAAAAGCAATATACAAGTGAAATTTCTATTGCCCCCTTGACTATGAATTGCTTAATAATTTCAGTCTTTAAAAGTGCTTTGAGATGATAAATGTTGTTAACCTTGTCTGCGGTTTTGCCTAGACTGGGAAAGGAAATTGGATTTCAAAATGTGTTAACTAAAATCCCCTTGGTTAAAATGTTTGAAACACATTTTTCAAACACAACTCATTTTCCCCATTTAGAAAAAGGCCTTGTGAGGTAAGGAAGCGTTATCCTTACTTCACAGATGAGGAAAGTAAGGCAGACAGAGGAAAAGCCATTTGTACAAGGACATATAACACAGTGAGTCAGTAGCAGAGCTAGGAATAGATTGCAGATCCTTTGGCTCCCAGTGTCCTACCCCAACTTTTACATCACGTGTTTTCCCTGGTAGGATTGAGGTATTGTGCAAAAATGTGAAAACGGTGATACAGTGCATTTTGATATGACTGTAAAAGTAACCCCAAGTGTGCCTCGATTTTCACTGTGTCTTGTATGTGATTCTGGTTCAGCTCAATAGGCCTATGAAGCAAAGATGAGTTTATTCATCTCAGGCGAACTGTAAATGAGATTCCTTATATTAATGTACTCAAAAGAACTGTCCTCTCCCACCAGGCTCTGGACACCCCGACGTCAATAAAATCTAGAACAGTTTAGTGAAGTAATATAGTTGCTTTCAAGATTCCAGACCGTGTTCTCTCCCACACTGTAACTTTAAAAATGTAGCAGTGCTGTACTGAAAATGGAACAGTTTAAGAAAACTTTGTGCCACAACATGAGGTGCTGACTACATGCAAAATTACAGGGTTAGGAAGGCTCAGCTGGCTCAGGATTTAGATTGTCTGACCCCTCCCTAAGTGCTTTATAATAGATGCAAATATGTTTCTGGGTTTTGTATGTTTAAGTTTCCACTAGATCTTATTTGTTTTGTTTTCTGTCCAGGGTTCGTTCTCAAATTCCTCGGCTGTTCATATTTCACACTAAATTTAAAAACCAAAAAACCCACCTTCACACAGACTGTGGGATCCTTCAGTTTTTCCCTATAAGTAATGAAGCAATAAAACCTAACTGGGTGGGTGTGCACTTCATTATGTAATCTCCATAAACCTGGGGTGTGTCATGAAGTATGGAGACAAAAAGGCAGAGCCTTCAGCCACCATATACTTGTGCTTTATTGCACAAGAACCATACTCTACAGTTTGCAATGAGATACATTGTAATGCTGGAATTTGGGAGGGAAAAAACAATCAGACCTGGCTTTAAACTAGGCTGTAGTTCTGAACATCTGGATGTTTTAAATCCTTTCTAGCATGGTTATTTGATGTGTCAAAATAACTCAAAAAATTAGAATAAAATTGGTATTTGTCAAACATTATTTCTGACACATTAAAGTCTTTGTTGCAAAAGAAACAATCCTAGAGTCCTTTTTATGTGCAAGTCACGTAGGCCCAAGAGCCGAGTGTTTTTTTGTTTGTTTTGTTTTGTTTTTTTTAAGGCTATTCCATTCCTTGCTTTGGATGGCAAAGGGGGAGATATGCATCCCTGCTACACAAGCAGCAACCATTTTAGCTATATCACCACTCTGTCGCTGTCCCCAAAAGCACCCATCACCATTACTATACCGTGGGAATCAGGAGTGCAGAATCTGGAATCCCCAGAAGCACTGAAACTGAAACATACCCAACCTACTCAGTCCAAACTATCACTGATACAAGAAGACTCCACCCAAGGAAAAAAGCCCCAAGGCGATCAAAGCCGAACAGGCAACGGCTGCACCTCTCAGACGCCACAGTGACTGGTAGAATTGCATCAAAGTTACCTTACACTTGTACAGGTGAATGCAAGGTTGTTGTTAATGTGAGAATCGTCCATGAACTGATCACAAGGCTCCTGACCTAGCATGTATCATAAAAATTGGGTTTGATGATGAAGCCAAGCCAGAACAAATCCTACTAGTCTCTGTGAGATACCTAATACATCATGGGTTTAGAGTGGCCAAGAGTGGAGGCTGTGTGATCATAATCTCATCCAGTTTAGAATAAAAAGCAAGATTCTATCCCCAAAATAAAAATATTTGAGTCTGTTCAGCTGGAATGTGAATGCAGTGACAACAAATCATGAAGACTCTTCTAACTTATATATCAGATTTACATATTTGACAAGAATTTAGCCACATTTCTAGAAGAATTAGTCAAGCTTCAACTGAACCTAATGTGTCAGTCCAGAGATTCATTGTCCTGGGAAATTTCAAATTCCATGTAGAAAAATAATCTGACATTATAGCCCAAGATATGCTATGCACCATGTCGGAGCAGGGTTTTGCTCAGGCCATCTCAGACTGCATGTGCAGCTAGATGCATGCCTGATCTAGAACTTAGAAGCACCGATAGCATACCACACTCCTGGAAGAGCCACCACCAGCACTTCTCAAGAGTGTTTAAAGGGACCCATTCTTGCCCCTTCAATGAACTGATTTGCCCCACAGAACCACCTGGACATTTTCTGTGACCAGAAGATCTTGAAAGGGACAAGCTCCTCATCTAATAAATGTAGATGTTGATGAATTACTGAAATATTAACCAACTGCTGTCTGAAACAATCAATGAACTAGCCCCAAAATAACCGCTTGTCTTGTAGGTCCCTGTGGTTCTCTGATGAACTATGAAAAATGAAGCAAGAAAGCAGCTTACCGGAGTACCAGTGGCACAAAATATGTTCCACCCAGTCCATGTAGTGCTGAGGCCCACCTGTAGGCAAATGCTGTAAGCCATAAAAGATTCTTTATTTCATACGCAGTTGTGCTAGCCAATAATGGCCAGCTGAACTGATCTGTGCAGTAATCCAACTAATCCACTGGAAGGTCTAAACATGCTTCTAGGACCAAGTGCAGCTCGCTGTGGAAAAGAGGCCCACTTCAAAAACAAAACCAGCAAGATCTTAGGGATCTTGTTGAACAAAAGCTGAAGAGTTACCCTGTGGGACTCCTTGCCAGAGAAGGAGAGGCAGAGGCAACGCCTGATTAGATGTAGGTGTGAGATGCACCTTTTCATTGATAATTCAGTACTTAGGAATGACACCTTTAAAACCTTTAAAACCAAAACCCCATCTTTGCACCTCCTCACGGACAGGAATGGTGAGGGACCCCTCTTTTTTGATATGGGCATTCATTCTTCTGATCTGAAAGGTGCTTCATAAATACTTTAAATAGCTAATGAGCAGGACCCCATTGTGCCAGATAAATCCAATCAAAAAGGCATTTTTTTTAGCTCCTCAGCTTGCCCCCTGCCATTTTAGGATGTTTGAAGCAGGAGGACCGAGTGGCCAGCTTGGAGAGTGGAAGATTTTCATGGGCACTAGTGACACAACAGGCCACAGCACTGTCATAGAGGAAGTAGAGTGAGGCATGCAGGAGGCAACAACTGCACTTCTGCAGAGCGTGGGGTCCCCAGATGGCAGGAAATCCCCCATCTGTGCAGCTCCTAAGCCATGCAGGAATGGAGCTCTACTCTAATGGGTCTTAGGAGCTCTGGATGGCAGCTGCTGCCTCCTGCTGCACAGCTCCTAAATCATACAGGAATAGAACACCAGTATTACAGGGCTTAATACAGTGATGCTCAAACTTTTGTATTGGTGACCCCTTTCACATAGCAAGCCTCTGAGTGCAACCTCCCCCCTTATAAATTAAAAACACTTTTAAAAATATATTTAACACCATTATAAATGCTGGAGGCAAAGCGGGGTTTGGGGTGGAGACTGACAGCTTGACCCCCCCCATATAATAACCTCACAACCCCCAGAGGGGTCCCAACCCCCAGTTTGAGAACCCCTGGCTTAATAGCTCTTCATGCAGGAGACTTCCCCTGCAGATATCCTCCGGGGGTGGGGAAGAAGGGCTGCTTTTCCAAAAAGACAGGCCCTGCCTGCTGCTGCTGCCTTCTGCTTCCTCAGTTTTGCAACACCTCAATTTATCCTACCATCTCATAATCTAGTAACATTGCCAAATAATGCCACATAATTTTATGATGCATAAATGGAGGCAGATAGAAGCATCAT